GGCCGAGATACATTTGAATGTCTCGTCTTTTAACGAATATTCAAGCCCTCTTTTCGCTAGAACAACTTTCATAGTTCTTTCAGTATTTGCCATTGAATATAATTTAATAGTAGTACGATTTAAAGCACCTTAAAACGTATAAAAAACCATTTTGTATACTATATTCTGATGAGAATCTTTGTTTAAAACAATATGATTGTGAGCGTGTGCCCGCGCGAATTTAGTTAGCGGAATAAACAAAAGCAATAAAAGCGCATGCGCCATTTATCTCATTTTGGCAGATATTATTTCAGACAAAATTTGTTCAAAAACCAACAAGCCAAACCAAGGCCAGGTTACTTAGCTAACCGAGAGAATCATCGCATGGTACCGAATGTACACCAAAATCCAAAATGGCTACACGCGACGAAACCATGAATATGGATGAGGATATGAATATTGACGTCGACGATGTGCAAACACAAAGTAGCGAGGTAAGTAAAATTAGAAATAGCAATACGCTGCATAAATTTTTATTTTATTTACCTTTTATATGTCTGTATTTATATTACGTTAATAAGGAGTGTGGCAAATTTACTAAATAGCGAATGAGCGAATGCGAATATATTATAAATTATAATGAACTGTCTGTGCCATTAACAAGCTTTCTTTCGTAGGGCCGCAACTACCGACGTAGTTTTGAAATTTACCAGTGTATTAACTTATTCAAAAAATTTGATGTTGATTGTTGGGCTGTTGAAGTTCTGCTTGTGACTTCACTCACAATTCACAAACTACTAAATTAAAATTGTAGGACAAATTCTGGACAAATACTTTATAGAAAATGGACAATACATGTCTGACACTGGATCCCAATATGTAAATGTTATTTGTCTGATACAATCAGCGGCGTAGCCAAGACGTTATTTCATGGGGCGGGGAGGGGGGGTGAAGCATGCCAAAGCTGATGACAAAAACCTTTCCCCAGACATGTCAGTGGTAAGGAAGTAATATTTTGTTTATAATTTAGTAAGAACAAATCATTGTTCCTACCACTGTTTATGCTATAGCAAATATCTGGGTGCCAGCTTCTGTTAGGAACTATTTGCAGGGCATGTGAAATTGATAACCTGATCATATAAAACAATATGAAAATTATTTGAGTTGTTCCTCCCCACCCCCACCCCCAGAAAAAAAATTTAGGTGCCCTTTTTCATTCGAAAAGTGCCCCTCAAAGCCTGGGCCCCCTAACTTTTAGATGTGTTTTACGCCCCTGGGCATGTGTGGAAAGGACTGGTGGATTAGTTTCAAATTCGTTTGGGTCGTTCCAGAAAAGATCCATACTCCCCCCACGGAGGAAATTTCTGCCGTCCGGAGGGGGAGGGGAGAAAAAATTGTTTTTGATAATAGTAAATGTATTAGGACATTCGAAGGGGGTAGGGGGATTAAGTTCCTATTTCCTCCGTGGGGGTGGCATAGATGTTTTCTGGAATGACCCTTTGAACAATGATATTGTCTGTAAGCCACATTGTAACATTTTGGTGTGTAAATAAATCTGATCAAAAACTTGGAAAGTAATTATTCTGTTACTAATAAAGTGTATGTTCGCACCCATATTTTTTGCATGTTTGCAATTTTAATTAATTGCCAATCAAATTTTTATACTAATTGTGACTAAGAAACAGATTCACTGTTTAAAATTACAACTGTTAAAATGCTAAAAATGTGGGTGAGGTGATCAAGGTGACGAAGCTCTAGGAAGATATATATTCTGTGACTGGTTGATTATGACAATGACAAAAGACGTAATTGGCTTACATAAACAAAAGGAATATTGTTCTTGCTTTGTTTGTCATTGTCATAATCAACCAATCACAGAACATCTTCCTACATTACTGCATAAAAGTGGAATACAAGCGTGAAAGGCTGCCGGGAATGACTAAAACAATTATTAATTTTCTAGCTGTATAATTAACAAAATAGCTGTATAACCAAATTTATAAAGAAGCTAATTTATAAAAAAGCTAATTTAATATAAAAAAGCTGTATAACCAAAATTAATCGATTTTATGTCGTTCATGAGCCGAACGAAAATTTTTGAAAATATGGAGTCTCTATAACTTCGGATATGGCCTTTACAGAGTCTTTAATACTGCGAAAAGGGCACTTTCTTTCCAGCAAAAGAGGGCATTCAGTCAAGAAATTCTTTTTTCGTTCTTTATATGGCCACTTTAGCCCAGAAAAACGGCACTTTTCACTTTCCGCGGCCCCTGCACGATACGAATATTCACGCCGTCGCACACTTCAGTTGTTAATGCACAAATATCTCTATAACGTTTTTGTTTGATTATGGACTCCAGGCCTTGTATCTATAAAAACTAGAGAAAAATAAAAAGGCCTAATATGTGAACCATATCACCTAGAAGATGGAATGATTGAAATAACCTGCCGCATCTAAGGCCAAATAAAAAAAATACTTGGTTAGCGTCACACTCTCACAAATGTTCAGAGGCGGGAGGGCGTTTTTTAAAATTTTTACTCGTTTTTTAACAGTATTTTTGGGGGAGATGGGGTCAATTTTTCCGCCATATCGGTGATATTTTTGTGCTGATAGTACCCAAGCCCATGCGCTACTATCGATCAGTATATAGCGCGAAAAAATGAGAATAAATTCAAATATTAAACTGTTTTAAACTGTAAAGCGAAGAGATTTACATAACAAAAAAAATGCGGGCGTTGACGCTAACCAAGTATTTTTTTTCATTTGGCCTAATACTATTTGTGCGGGGTTGGCGGGGGAGGGGGGGGAGGAGGATGATTCTCGTAAACGTGGTAGAAACAAAACTTTCTAATTGTATACAATTTGAGTAATATTATTAATTAATAATATTTTATAATAATTATTTTTAGTCTCTAAGAAACACGCTTTAACAATCCGTACGGTAACTATTGCTGAGCTGGATCGAAATGTAAGGTCTGCAAAGTTTGTGTTGAGAAAACTATATGCTACCAGCCAAACCGTCTATCCGCTGACCGTTCCGTCCGCAGAAACCTCTCGCCAAATCCTACTGACACATGGCACTCTCGAAGCTCTACAAACGGTTATATCTAGGTTGCAGGGCCGTAACTAGACACGATGATTCGGG